AGAGAGAGAGAGAGAGAGAGAGAGAGAGAGAGAGAGAGAGATGCATTTCCTATTTTTGGCAATACAGAAGTGACTACTTTACCTCTGAAAGCAATGCACTGGATCAACAACATTTATACAGTGGCTGAACGTTATGATCGGCAGTGAAAAGTCATCCAAATTACTCCTGAGCTTCCCAACCTCAATCTGACTTGGCCCAAAAGAACCTTGAGTTTCAAAGACAAGCTCTCAAAACTGAGAGGAGTTTCAGAAATTTTCTTTTCCAGCAATGGTTTAGAATTTAAAATGGATGTGCAATTATTCAAGTTCAATTCTCCCCTCCCCCAACCCCCGATCCCAGCAATCTCAAATACGTGTGCTGGGGATTGCAGCAGGGATACTGACTAAAGTGTATAAACAATTGTATGCATAGTTGTTCGTGTGTGATGTGGGGGAGGTGCTGCAACTCAAAGGTTCCTAGAGCTATCAAATAAAAGGAATTATATAGCTATTCCTTTTCCCCTTACTGGATTTTCTACAGGAAGGAAGGTGGAAGAAGCAGTAGGAAAACATCTGAGGGTTGCAAATGAAAGCCAACCTTATCATTCCTCCCCCGCTCCCCATAAAATTCTGTGAATAAGGCAGGGTGTTTGCAGGGTAATACCCTCCCTCTAGCTGTGCATGAAAGTGACTGAAGAAGTATACATTTAAATGCACAGCTGAATGTATATCTTCATCAAAGCTATGCAAGGCAAAGAGGCTGCCTCCTCTGCTAGATGCACACCAGACTTATGCTTGTGGTTCCCAGTTCAGCCAGTGATACATACATCAGAGCCTGCATCTATATGCCGAATTCCTTAGCTGCATCAGGGTGACCAAAATCAAGAAGTGTATTCTTACCATTATGGCTTTAAAATTAATCAGCAGATTTGGGTGTTGTTTTTAAGGGATCTCTCCAAACTGAATTTCTGCCATATTTTGATATCTACAAGAAAACGCAGTTCAGTTCTATCCTTAGTGTGTAACCATGGCAGAGACCCAAAGTTAAGCACAGATGGGAGTCGAAAGCAGAGCCAAGGTCAAAGGGGGGCCCGGGAGGGAACCTCCAGAGGCTCCCTGTCTGAGCAGCAGCCCTGTGGCATGAGCCCCCTGGGCTGGCTCCCCCTCTTCACCACTGCAACCAATTCGCTTGCCTGCCTCTCACTCTGGCCCAGTGGCGAAGGGGGGAGCAGGGAGAACAGGAAATGCCGCTGTCTCCTTGCTCCCCCGTCAAGCAAGCAATGATGAGAAAGAGAATCAGCCGGTGGCAACGGCAGTGAGAAGCTGGACTCACTGAGAGGGTGGACTATTGAAGGACCTTGGAAAGCTGGAGCCCGCACTGTAAGCCAGAAATGTGAAGATACCCTGGCATTGCGCTACACTGGCATGTTCCACTTTAAGTTGCATCTCATTTGCCACACTCCTGAGCAAAAGCCCTTATAAGTGAATCGAAGGGACTCCAAGAGCCCAGATCTGCACCCACCACCATATGAGCTTGTGCATCCTATATCCCATAAAGGTCAGTATAAATTGAAACCTGAAAATTAGCACCTGAAAGCTGCTGGATAAGGGAGAGGCCTGACCAGAAATAGCTTCATTCTGTGCCCTTGCATGAAAGAGTGAACATTTCCCCCAAACAAGTAAGTTGTCCCCTTTTTGCAGGATGCCCAGATATGAATGGAGCTCTGGATGCTTCGAAGGCTCCAGCCACTTTCCCTCTTGTGTCCCTGTCCCCGCCTCAGTTGCCATAAAAGCCGTAGTAACCACCATCACCTCCGTCTTTGTCATAGAGCTCTCCGTTGCGGATGGGTGGTGAGCTCTCGGCGCTGGAGATGTAGGGAGACACCCGCCGACGCTTACACTCTGCTTCGTACAACCCGGAGTCTGAGGAATCCACCGATTTCACTGAGCCCGGCTCGGCCCAGCTCTCGCTGTCCTTCCCTTTTTCCTCACCCGCAGGCGCCATTGGCAAGTCTCTCATGGGCCGGAACCAACTCAGAGCCCCCGGGGTGGGCTTGGGGTGGTGATACTGAGGCGGGGAGCTCCACGCAGCAGTGGGGCCAAAGGGGTGCTCCTGGTAGTAAGGCAGCGAGGGGTGGGGGGCAGCCTGCAGGGCAAAGGGCTTCACCCCATAGGACATGAACTTGTTTCCTCTGAAGTCTCCTTCATAGGTGCCATACTCGAGAGCGGGAGCAGACGGCTGCTGAGAAGCAAAATACCAGTGGTGGGCATCCTTGGGTGGCAAGGGCAGCGGGGCCCGCTCCCTGCTGTAGAAGCGGCTTTGGGGAAGCGCGTACTGATCGTGCAGGAAGGGCTGGAAGCGGCTGCCCGCCAGGAGCTGCTGGCAGCTGGCAACGCTGGGCGGAGATGGGGTTGTGCGGTCCCCCTCTGTTGTGGCGTACATCCTGGAGCAGAGCAGCGGGAAGCGGAGGGAGTGGGAGTGGGAGTGGGAGTGGGAGAGGGAGAGGGAGAACACGTGTGTGAAAGAAGAGGATGACTGGACAGGCCATCATGCCAGCCCGTAATTAGCACAAACCACAGCTTGAAACCCCACTTCAAGCCATGTTTCAGCATCTCGGGTAACCAGTTCAAGCCATGCTATACCCTTTAAGAAGCTTAACCACCAGCAGGGTGATGTCTAAATTGTCCTGTTTGTATGGTCAGCAAAGCTTGAATGCTTGAGGTCCCCAACCGTGCCCAGAAAACTCTGCCCTCCTCTCAAGATATTGCTTTAAGAAAAACCTGCTATTCTTTCTCTCCCTTTCTACCGCCAGCCTTGCCTTTTCTCTCCACACCCACTCTTTACCTCACTTTTGAGGCAGCAGCACTGGGCAGTTGCTGTGGCCCTGATCCATTAAACAGCTTTCCTCAACCCAGCACCTCTTAGATTTGTTAGAGTAAAGCTTCCTTATACCCATCCAGCATCATGCTGCTTGTGGAGGTATGATAGGAGTTGTAGTCCAACATATCAGAAGGGTGCCAGGTTGGTGAAGATGCCTCTACAAGGAACAGAGTATATTCATATTACAGCAGCTTGGGAGGAGGTAGAAGAATGAAAGTTTTCAATTTCCACGATATTTTAACAAGTAGTTAAAAATTGGGAAATTGAAATTGGGAAAGTGAAGCAGCCCTACCTTGGGACCAACGTCTACTAAACTGCCAATCAAATTTGACACTGGACAAAGAGAAGAGAAAGACTTACGAATCAAAGTTGTCCCGGAAGCCTTTCGCAAAAGGATTGTGATCTATCTTCAGTTGGGTGATCTAATGGAAACAAAGGCGAAAATGAATGCGTGCTCATTGTGAAGTTCACCACGAAAAAGGCATTATCTTTCCTAGCACCCTTGCGCTGCCAGATCAGCCCCCTTCTTTTACATCTGCTCCAGCCAAAGCCTCTGCTGACTAATCCCCCCTTTCAAATACTGTACTATGATGGCATTGGGATACCGTGGCGTATCTACAACAGTCTACTGAGTGAAAGCCAATTTCTGCACTATCGCACAGAAATTCTCTGCACAGACACATGGGGATGCAAGCAACCTTGTGCGTGCAGTGACCTGGTGATTTACGTCAAGTCTTTCTCCTTTGCACCCACACTTTCTCGCCTGCACACACAGCCATCTGTCCTTGATTAAGTGAGGATCTTGAAACAAGAGAGTAACTGTTCATTGAGTTACTGACAGCATGACTTTTTGTACATTGACAACGTTTTATAAAACATTTGGTGCCAGCCACATAACCAGTTGTCACGGGAGGTGATGGCATGTGATCATTGGTAAGCTTTCACAAACCATGGGACTTGAATTAGACAAGACTAACTTAAGTCTCTGGGGTTTCGGTGGGTTTACTCTACGGCTGACTGGGCCTAAGCAGATCTGTGTTACTCGTGATGAGCACATGGTGGCTGAGAAGCATACAAACATCTGTCTTCAAGGAAGTACTTCTGAAGTCTCCTAGCACTGCTACTTTCCTAGTGCTGAGAGCTACGAGGTCTAGCTCATTCAAAAATTGTTTTAGTTGTTGGCATAGTGGGAAGCTGTTGTGGTCTCTGTTTTTATGAATGGTCCAGAAATGAAACAAATAATTCAAAGCAGTACACAGCAGTTCCATCTTTTTTCTCCATAATGGATTGTCTGTCTTAAGGGAATAGGCAGAAGAAGATTAAGAAACAGAGCCACAAATAGAAGGTGGTGACACCAGGCCTTCCCCATAAGCATCTGTGAATGAGGCGGGGTGTTGGCATCATACAACCACCGGGAAGATAGATTTTTCCTGGTGAGGAAACAGCAAGGGTCAACTATTTAGGGTTCTATCAGAGAGACACAAGAGTGTCGAAAATATAAAATATATCTCGGAAGCAGTCCTTTGAAGAACAACTTGCTTTGACTGCAGCACAAGGTGGGAAACTAGGCCTGAGGGCCAATTCAATTTTGGAGAATTTCTCAGGGGGTACATTCCAGGGTGATGGATGGGACCAAAACCTCCTGCCCATTTACTAACTCTTACTGCTAGTAACTAAGCCTTTGAAGAGACTCTTCAACCTTTCAGAGAGGAGGAAAAATTACACTAGACAATTGGTGATGGGAAAGGAGGTAAGCCGTCTGGGGGACTCACGGGAGACCAAATGGGAAGCCCAGGCTTGGAGAGCCACATCCTTGTTGTAGTCCTAAAGTAACGCATATCCTCTAATTAGCAAGCCTGTTGAGACCCTGATGTGGCTGTCCCTGGGGCTGAGCAAATATCGCAGCCATCCATCAGCTCCAGTTCCTTCATCCACAGCAGCCAGGGAGATGCACTCTCCTCTATGCAGAAAGGTACTCTCAATTCCCCAGCTATTAGACATGTTTCCAGATTGAGCCCTGGCATGGAAAAGGGATTTGGGGCACCCATTAGCAGGTGCTAGGGTGTAGCCCTGTTCCCAAACCCTGCACAGATACACCTCAGCTCAATGTTCAGAACCTCCCACCTCCACACACTTGCATTATCCAAAGGATGGAAGGCTGCCATCTGAAACAGAGCATGGACTCCCATCCCCACGAAAACTCACATCTGCATTCTGGTAGGCTGTGACGGCAATGAACTGTGTCTCTGGAAAGGTGAAGGTCTGGGTACAAAGGGAGGGGTGTGCTTCATCCACCTCACCCTGCTTGGCCTCCGTGACATGTAGACGGGGCTGGTACTTGTGCAAGGACTGTAACACGATCATCTGTTGGACAAACAGGACAGGAGTCATTTACGCAAGAGCCGGGGGCTGGCAACTCGGCATACCATGACACCGACCCTCCCGGGTTTTGGTTAGGGAGGCAGCAAAAGGACTTGGGCCAACCCCAAGAGCCACCATCATTACCTGGGTGACATTGTTAGATGCTCCTTTATTATTGGTGAGTTTCAGTTTCCCAAAGGAGATTTCCTGCCGCATCCAGTGCGCTCCAGTGTTGGGTGAGTCTGGATGCATGTACGTCCGATTCCCTGCCGGGAAGATGGCATTTCTGGTGAGCGTCTTGAAGTCTCCCTGCTTAGTCCTATGGCAAAACATGTGCTGGGCCTACTGTGAAACCACGGGAATGTCTACATTCCAAATACACAAGCCAGTTTGAAATCACTTTAGCTGGCTTCCTTAGCAAGAAAGCTTGAGATTCCTAGACTGACAGAATGCTGACAGTTCTTTGTTCTGATCTACTCAATCTACTCAGAAAATTACAATTCCCAGAGTTCCTTGGTTGGAAAGCATGTCATCCGAGCAGGACTAAAACTGGTCTTAAATCTTATAGCAAAGCCATGGTCATAGATTCACAAAGCAGCAATCAATTATCTTGTCCAAGATTCTATCTAAAAAAAGATCTCTGAATCTTTCCCAACTGGGCGCTCTCTGCATGTGTTGGAATACAGCTCCTGGATGAATGCTGTATGTTGGACATAATGAAAATTAACTGAAGTTCATATGTAGAATCTAGAGAAGGATCAATGGATAAATCCCTCCATCGACTATCCAGTTATCAATGGATGAACACAGAACAATATGTATGTATTGATTTCGGCACATGGAGAGAACAGGAGGAGGAAAACTGTTGAACAGGGGAAGGTGAATAATGAAACATGATTTCTAGAATACAATCTGCTATTATTCTGAAATGTTTTGAGTTTTAGTACTGCAAATGGTATTGCTTTGGTTATCTTTAGTGCAAAATAATGGGTTGGACCCAGATTGAATTGGGTGCATGGATGCATTGTTGCTGTCCTCTCCCCCATAAAAGAGACCCATCAGCTTCCTGAAAATGCTATACAGGTGGTAGGGGACACTGAACAACAGGATATACTGCAGTGAGTGGTGGATCCCTGGTCAGAGATAACTTCTGGGTTGCAGCCCATCTGTCTGCAGACTGTAGATCCTGTCCTGCATCCATCCTGATATCATTAATTGAAAATATATTGTAATGCTTCATCTGTTTATGTGTATATCTTTTTATATCTATCTATGTATGTGAAAATACCTGGCCTGCTCTTAGGCACAAATTCATCCAGGTCACTTGACATTATAAACCATTCGAACAATAAAACAAGATTCAAAATTAAATCAAAAATAGTCCAGTTAATAGTAGACCACAGCAGGTTAAAGCCACGTGTATTGTTGTCTGTCTGTCGGACATTTGCATGTTTTAAAGGGGTAGAAATAACTTAGGTGATTTACCGAAGAAATAATTTACTGTAGAAATAACTTACTTTTTTGACTGTTGATAATCTTGCTCCCCTCACTACCACCTGCCTCAGCTTCTACTTTTATGCCTAATGTCAACTTTTTTGCCTGCAAAATTATGCATACCTTAGATATTTGCCTCTTTCCCTGGACAGGTAACAGTGACCACAGAGTAGGTTAAAGCACCAGTGTGCTTTAAAGGTAAAGAAATTCAATCTCTCATCCTACCGTTAGAGGGAGCCAAAGCTCCTAAGAACAGGATTGCATTCAGACAGTGAAGAAGGGGAAGCAACCTTCTCCAGACCTTTTCAATTAGATTCAGAGAAACTTAAACAAAGTTAAACTGGTGTGATGATTTTATTAATGAGTTCCCTGTGGATCTTGTAAAATGCCCTGAGTACTTAATGATGGAGGAATATAAGTATTTAAATAAACAAAGCAACCCCTTGAGAACATAAATGGGAACTCCAACTGAGAGAGTACAAACGTATCTCCAACCACCACCTTCCAGCAGATTCTAGCTAGGATTGCTAGTGTGGTGTAGCAGGTAAGAGTGCTGGACTGGGACATGGGACTTCACTTAGCCATGAAGGTTACTGGGGTGACTCTGGGCCAGTCACTCACTCTTAGCCTAAACTTCCTTACAGCATTGTAAGGATAAAAGGAAGAAGAGGAGGTTAAGGTCTGTGTAAGTTGCCTTGGGTTCCTTGCAAAAGAAAAAGAAATGGATTATAAATGAAAATGTATAAATAATAATATAGTTCTTTGCTGAATCTGTTTAAGATCTACTGGATATTTGCTATTGCCACAAGAAGGGAAGACTTGATTTTGGGCAAAACTGATGGAGAGGGGGAGTGTTGGTGGGGTGGGAAAAATGGCCAAATATAACATTTTTGGAGAACACCCCTGACATTTCATTAAATTCAAATTCTTGAATACCTCTAGTGTGGGAGAGCCCACATAACCTCCCTAGATCATTGGTTCTACTGCTGTACTCCTCCAACTTCCTCAGATCAGGAAGTTCTTCATGATGTTCAGTCGGAACCTGGACTCCTGTAACTTGAGCCCATTATTCTGCGTCCTGCACTCTGGGATGATCAAGAAGAGATCCTGTCCTTCCTCTTTGTGACAGCCTTTCAAGTGTTTGAGGAGTGCTATCATATCTCCCCTCAGTCTTCTCTTCTCAAGGCTAAATATGCCCAGTTCTTTTATTCTCCCCTCATAAGAGATCCCATAACTACCAGGTCTTCCCAGCTGGCTAAAATCAAGTCAAGGATAGCCATTCCTCCAGTTACTTCCTCCCCTTTCTGTAGGAGGAAGTTATCAGCACACATGTTAGGAATTCCTTGGAGGGCCCATGTGAGGCAGAATTTATCTCCCAACAGATACTGGGGAAATTTCTGCCCCCCTCCCATAACATCATCATTGTATCCCCTTAAAACAATGGCAATTTGCTTTTCAAAAGTTTCATTCTTGTATTAGGTGGTTGGTAATAGACTTCAACCACCACATTCCTTTTCTTCCTTGTTCCATTTATATTAACCCAGACAGTCTCAATGGAGCTACTAAACTCATCTTCCTGTATTTCTGTGCAGAGATATGCAACTTTCAGATATAGCATGACATTGCCTCCCTTTCTGTTCTTTCTGTTTTGAAGAAGTTATAACCTTCAATTCCTGAATTCCAGTGGAAAACATCCCATGAAGTTTCAATTATACCTATCAGGTCATATTCACCCTCCTGTATTAACAGCTCAAACTTGTGCTGTTTGTTTCTCACACTCCAGGCATTAGCATATAGAAATCAAAGACCATGTGCTCTATAATCTAGCTTTCTTCCTACATTTTCTGGAAGATTGTTATTTATTACATTCCTACCCTGCCCATTAGCCAGGATGACTCTGGGCACCTATTATTATTAGGCACTATTAGAGCTGCTGTCTCTAATGTGGTACGTAAGTCACATAAGTGTCTTACGTAAGTCCATTGTAACCTCCAGGTGTACTTCTCCCTCTCCTGTAAGATTCCGTTACAGGAGAGGGAGATGCACTTCTTCATTCTGTGACCAGACACATTCTTTCTGGCCCTTTTAAGGTGCAAGCCATCCCTTGCCAACCGTCCATCTTCCAGGGAGCGTTTGCTGCCCATGGCCCATAATTCAAATCTCTTGTGTCTGCGCCACATTCACCCAGCGTATTTTTCTTTCCCTTACCATTCCTCTTCCAAGAACAGGAAGGATGGGGCCCTATCTGTTCTTGGAAGAGAAATGGTAAGGGAAAGAAAAATCTATTTGTCCCCATCCATCCATTCCTATCTGAAAGTCAAAGTTCTTGACTTTCCTCCTCAAAACTTCAAAGTCTGCCATTATTTCTTCAACATTCTGCTTTGCATCATCATTTGTTCCCACATGGATAAGAAGGAAGGGACATAACTGTACTGCAGGCTGCCCTCCAATCTCATCCTGAAGTGCTTGGAAGAGGCTCCATAGTCCCACTGCTTCCAGTGATGTAGAGTGTCTTCTAGTTCTTGCACTCCTAATGGTCACCCTTTTCCAGGGAGTTTTCTCCTCATTTTCCTTTGCCTCTGACTTCTCCTCTTCTGTTTCAGCTCACTGTTGGCTTCTAGCTCCTGTGCTACACTTAGTTGCTCTAGGTCCACCACTATGTCTAAAAACTCTTCAGCTTATCTTATTCCCTTGAGGGTGGACACTTGCCACTCCAGTGCTCTCACTTTTTCTTCCAACACAGCTACTGGCTTGCACTTGTTGCGTGTGCAGGCCATGTTGACCTCAGGCAAGAAAACAAACATTGCACAGACCTTGCAGGTCATCACCACTGGGGAGTCTTCTTGGTCCATAGTCTCCACTTTCTTTTTCATAGAATCATAGAATACTAGAGTTGGAAGGGGCCATGAAGGCCATCAAGTCCAACCCCCTGCTGTTGCAGGACACCACATTACACCATCCCTCTCAGATGGCTGTCAAGTTTCTTTTTGAATGTCTCTAGTGTGGGAGAGCCCACCCCCTCTCTACCCAGCTGGTTCCACTGTTGTATTGCTCTGACAGTGAGGGAGATTTTCCTGATGTCCAGCCTGAATCTGGGTTGTCGCAACTTGAATTGATTATTCCGTGTCCTACACTCTGGCATCAGCAAGAAGAGGTCTTGACCTCCCTCTTTGTGACAGTGTTGAGGTACTTATAAAGGGATATCATGTTCCCCCTCAATCTTCTCTTCTCAAGGCTGAATATGCCCAGTTCTCCCAGTCTCTCCTCATAGGGCAGTGTTTCCAAACACTGGATCATTTTTGTTGCCCTCTGCTGGACCTTTTCTAATTTACCAGCATCTTTCTTAAATCTTGGTGCCCAGAACTGGACACAATCTTCTGGGTGAGGTCTGACTAGTGAGGCGTATAGAGAATCTCGTGATTTGGAAGTAATACTTCTGTTAATGCATCCCAATTTGATTCTACTTTGCAGATCATTCTACTTTGTGACAGGCTGTGCTTTCCCCTGTCTTCCCTGAAGGTTCACAAGAATTCTACTGGTAGATGAGTGTGCGTTACCAGGGAGAAAACAAAGAAAAGGTGTAGGGGGAAGTTAGGGACAACCTCTGCCAAACTCCGTTAGTTGCTCTATTCCCAGATGACGCATAGATTTGTTTATTTCATATCCATACCATCCCTTAAGCTGGACTTCTCTGGGCCGTTTGCAACCACCCAGTGAGGAGCACAGAGATTTAGTGAGGAGAGGGGTCTGCTTCCATGAAGACACTGCTTTTTGCCTGCTTGCTAAGGCCACATCAAGCAAAATCTGAGTGGACACCAGCAGAACCATCCCAAGGCATTTTGCTGCCCGAGGCAAAGCAGCACAGTCCCCCTCCACCCCAATAACAAGTCAAAAAGCTTAATACGCAAAGTCACCCAACTTATTTTGACATTTGAGACAGAAAGTCCCACAAATCCCTCTACTTAAAATGTTAATTCAGAAACTAGCCATTTGCTGCCTTTTGTCCTTATGTGGGAACACCCCTCATGGAAGTCCAGTTCAGAGGAAGCCCACCTCAAGAACAGCTTTACTGATCCATGTTTGTGAGACTTGTCCTACGAAAAACACTTTGAAAACTCTTGTGTGAACTGCCTTGAAGGGCAAGTAAGTCTCTTAAAGGTAGTGAAGACATATTTAGAATCAATACAGAAAATAGTAATAAGATTCACAGTTGAATTTGGATTCTGGGGTCATCACAGCCCTGGGACGCAGGAAGTCATAGTAAGTAACTCTGAGCATGCACGGAGTATGCTTCCCTCACCACATCATTGCCATCATCTTGGTATTTGATGATGCTTTCTTGGTGCTCACATGATTGCTCTGTGTTCATTCTCGTAGTTATGCAAGGCACGCTAAATGTAGTGTGATGTTAGCTAGGATTTAAACCATGAACTTGAGTAGACTTACTTCGGCAACTATTCTCTCTAAGCCTCTGTCCCCCATCTGCTTGCTTTACTGGCTGATATTTTGCCTTTCTTCCACCAACCCAAGGCAGTATGTATTCTCTGCCCCCCTCCCCCCGCCATATAGGCTCACAATGACCGTGTGAGGGAGGTTAGGCTAAAAGAGAACAACTGGCCCAAAATCATTCAGTGAACTTCATGGCTAGGCTGGGATTTGTACCTTGATCTTTCCTGTCAGAGTGCGACACTTGAGCCACATGGATTACTGAGTGGATATATCTGACGTGCTTTGTTCTTACTCTTTGCACCTTCATAAGGATAATGGGTAGAGGCCTGAAGGCTGAACTAGACATGAAGTCACTCATGTTGTGTAGGTTCTCTCTCTGTCTCTCTCTCTCTCTCTCTCTCTGTCTCTCTCTCTCTCTCTCTCTCTCTCTCTCTCTCTCTGTGTGTGTGTGTGTGTGTGTGTGTGTGTGTGTGTGTGTGTGTGTTAGGGAAAGTGAGATTCCACACTGTCTCTAGCACAGGGAAGGCATTTTAAATTCTTTACCCTGTGTAGAATCACATCTCTTCACATCTGCTCTTTACAACAGGGATATGTGTCTCAATGCTTCGAATGGGGGCTTTTCTCTCACTGCAAAGAGCAGGTGTTAAGGGGGCCGTGAGCCCAACTGGGACAACCATGGGAGAAAAGGCTTAAGTCCCCATGGCTGGGTTCCAAACTTGCTTAATTCACATATACGTTGGCCAGTCTGACAAAAAGAAAACACCCTACAAGGTTGAGCAATGTGAGCAGCATCAAGTCCAATTTGAGACTGAGGCCTCCACACATTTGAGATCAACTGACAACACTTTCATGGCAGAGAAGCCACCCTGTCAAGAAGTTGCCTCATGTTTATCGCTTTCAGCCTGAGGGGTGGTCTTCGAAATGCCCACATGTTGCTGCTTCAAACTGTTCCTGCCACTACCGAGGCCTTAGGAGAGGCACCCCTCTGGTTGAGGGAAAGGGAAAAACTGGAAAAGTCAGGAAGCCACCAAACGACCTGGTTGAGGGACAGGCGGTGGGGCCAGAGGAAAGGGATGTGGCCATCTAGGGGGCCCTGGAAGGCTGCCTTGGGACACCAAGCAAGCTGGATCTCACATGAGCCTGGGGCAAAAAGTTCCTGTTTATATGAAGGTTGTACAATGAGACCAATTGGCCACATTTATAGAAGAGGATTACTCTTGTAAGCAACAGGGTTCTGGGGAGGAGACAGTCACGGCAAAAGTTAGCCCAGGGAGGAGAGAGAAAAGCAGGAGACGGGGGAGACAGAGTGTATCAGGAGAAGGAGAAAGATTTCTTCAACATACCTGGCATATTTCCCTCTGCCTTGCCGCATTGAACCCATTTCCCTCCTTGGTACCGCCAATGATGCTGATCCACTAACACAATGTCCACATAGATGCTGTAATGAGCCACGGGGTCCAGCCCAGAGATGCTGAAGCTCAGAAAAGGAAACATCCTCCTAGTTGGGAGCAGAGACAATGGGGCAAAAGAAACACAAAGATGGCCATCACATCACAAGCTTGTCTTAGGCCACGTGCATTCCCCGCTTGCAAGTCATGCCTGCAATCAACAGCAGGCATTGCTTTTAAGGACACATAACCTCAATGTGCATTCTCATTTTCAGCCAATGCATTCAGCTTTGGTGCACCTAAGCAGAGGGGAATCTTGGAAAATTAAAGCAGAGGCATGGGAAAGAGCAAGCCAAAGTATTGGCTCTCTTAATGCGTTATTGCAAATAGAAGGGAGGTATGGAGAAGCACCTTTGCTCTGACCCCGACCACACACAGTATCACACCCAGGCCCCAGACACATCAGCTCTATATTAGCTTGGACATCTGTGGCAAGGAAGCACTCCAGAATTCCAGTCGCATCTCTGGATCCCAGGTTGCTCAAGGTAAGCTCGTATTATGCATATTCTCATCAACCTCTTACTCCATTCGGTGCACCTTCTGAACTTGGTTCTTGCACCACCAAAAACCAGTTACAAGCAAAACGCTGGGCCATGAATTGCTTCCATTCAGATTAGGGATCGGTACTCATTTCTCAAATAATACAGTTATGTCTCATTCACAATTCTGAATGTTAACAGGAATGTTTTTCACGGTTTCCCCCTTTTTTCTCCTCCAAAAAATGTTAGAAAATCCCTCAATTTGTGATCAAGATTGAAAAAATGTATATTGGCTTCAGTGCAGGGAATGGGGACTCCATCCAGACCCTTCACTTCATGTCTCTGGAGGCTGCCGCAGAAGTCAATCGGACCAGCCAGGTTTCTCTGGGAAACTCACAAAGCAGGCCTCGACTGAGACAGCAATCTCAGGTTTATCTCCAGTATCCTCTACTGAATATGAAGATGTCCTCTCTTACCCAGTAGCCATTCAAGGGCCTATCTATCCTCCATTCATGTGAAAATTCCCTTATTCAAAAGCCTTCTGACCTACTGACCATCCAGTCATCTAGCAGCAGTGAATCCATTCTTGCCTATTAATGCTGATTTGTGTGTAGAAATGTTCGCTTTTCATGTCCTGAACCTACAAGTATCCACTTGTACTCGCATGGGTTCCAGCATCTGGAACGGGAAGAATAAGTTCACAGTGCATACAACAGCTCCATTTCAATTACTGATTAGTTCTCTTACATGAAACATGTGCCAGTCTATGATGGGGGGAAGATCTCGATTCATCTGTTAGGTTCACTGGTGATCTTGGGCCAGACTTTCTTGTTCAGCCTAACCTACCTCATAGGGTTGTTGTCAGAGTTAAGACAGGATAAACATGTAACTAATAAAAATAAAATTTCATTTGTATTCTCTCCTTTCTTTGGAGAGCTAGAAGTGGAGGCAGGGTGACTGCACGGGGATTATTTTATCCACTCTACACAACAGCCCTGTGAAATAGGCTAGGCTGAGCGATTAATCACTGAAAGACACCTAGTGATCTCTGCATGGCAAGTGTAAGGACCTGAACCCAGGCCACTGCAGGACAAGTTTGACCTTCCTACTCATGTTATCCAAATACAGGCTTATCTCTTTTCCCCTAACTTTATACCACAGAAGCCTTTGTGTTTCAAAGCTTAACAGAGGAAAGGTGTCCAGGTCCTTCTCCCACTGACGTCTTACAGGATGAGCCTTTCCCTTCTGCAGTGTCCCCTAACCCAAAGAAAGAGGAGGAAAACTGAATTTCCACACCTCACCAAGAGGGCCACAATCTCCCGGCTCTCCCCTCAGAGAGGGAAAGGAGGGTGTGCTGTCCATTCTCCAGCTGGCTTCATCAATTACCACATCCAGCCCTGGTCGTTCAGCTCTATATGATCCACTTTCCAGCAGTCAATATCTTTCCAGGCCATCCCCCACCCGCCCACCCCATTCCAGCAGGGCCACTCAAACAGAATGACACGTACTTCATCTTTTCCCTCTTCCAGATCTGCCAAAACTGACGGTGGCAGGTGTGGAAGCAGCTCTGTTTCTTTCTCACCCTCACTGACCTTAACAAAACTCCGTACATCACCACTTCCCTTTTGCTCCCCCCACACTGCCTCCCTCCCATCCCACCACATTTCCGGTTCAGAAATAAGACACTGCTTCTATTTTCAGAGAAAGCAAGAAGGGGAGAGAGAAACAGAGAAAGATTCCGATGGATGAGGAGCTTATTCCCAGGGCAAGCCTAAGATCTTTTGACACCTGAGGTGGAAAATCCAAATGGTAATCCACACACACACACACACACACACACACACTCATTCTTATGTTGTTCAACTGCCAAAGGACCTTTCTCATGCAATGGAGTTTGCGCAAAAGAACTCAGTGGAGTCAATCCTGGAGTAGTAGATTTAGCCATGTGTCCCCCTCTGAGGGAGAGAACTAAATTTTGCTCCTTAAGGCAGATATTGACCTACTGTGCACATAATGAGAAGCTATTTGTGGGTGAAATTAGTCATAGGAATTCTTGTTACAGCAACCACTGCCATTCTGAATATCCCAACTTCAATGTGATGCACTGTAGCTTGTCATTATGTGCAAACCCAATGAAGATGGGCTGTTGGTGTGGCTAACAAGCCACTGAAAACCTATGGATTGTGGAGGGTTGCAGGTGGCTTTTCAGCCTTCCCAACAACACATCCTTGCTGAGTTCATACATAATGACAGATATGGCATGTTCTACGCTTATGCAAATCAAGTTGCAACTCCTCAGCAATCACCCCCCCACACACACACACACATTTCACAGAAAAACTAAAACAGAAAGATCAGCTGTAAAGTTGTAGTGCCCTCCCCATCTCAGTGCATGCATGAGGAAGCAAAGTTTCTTCATGGCTGATCTACTGTGCCAGACACAGGAAAAACCATTAAGTCAGGCACCGCACCAAAGATTGGACAAATCACTGGAGGGAAGGCTATAAAGAGTTGCTCGCTTTGTTGGTTATGTGCTATTTCCTTATCAGAGGCAGTGTGTCTACACACACCAGTTGCTAAGAAGGCTGGGTAAGCAGAACTTGGGTACCCATCCTGCTTGAGGGATCCTGTGGGCCGGTGATTTGCCACTGTGTGAACTGAGTGCTGGACTGGATAGACTGTTGGTCTGATCCAGCCTGGCTTTTCTAATGCTCTAAACTTCATAGCAGCCCATGTGGGACCACATTCTCCAGAGTTTTCTCATAGATTTGGAAGTTCATCAAAATTAAACCCTTAAATCTAAAAATTCACGTTTTCCTTCTTTGTTGACAGACATTCAAATGAAGCATACTTCAAAGAGAAACAGAGACTTGTGGCATATATCCTCTCCATCTTTTTTTTGGGGGGGGGAGGGATTGATGGCTGGAGGATGCTGGGAATTGTAGGATTTCTCTCTCTCAAAAATGCACCCTAGGGATTGTGACCTGCCACACTCGCACTTAGCTCCTAATAAAATCTATGGTAATTAGGTCGACTAAATTCACATACAGAGAAACTCTACACTCGCTTAACTCAGATGAATGCCCCCCTTAGTTCAATGTTTGTGCTTTTAATCCAGATCCAACCAAACAGGCGTAACTCTTGACCGTTTTTCTTCTAAAGTATCAAGTTATCTAAGCCAGTTCCTTGTTTGTTTTTTGTTTGATCAATTCACCTAAACTCAGCAGTGTCTAACAGGAGGCTGAGAAGAGCAGTAATCAGGGTAAAATGAATATAAATGCCTTTTCCTGCTCATTAATTAATTTATTGTTTTAATGTATAATCTGCTTTTCTACCAAAAATGACAGATGATAAAGTAGGAAAGACAGAGAAGAATCCCCTCCCGATTACAACTGTTCAGGAAAAACTGAAAGCATTATTTAGCATACTCAGAAGTTATGCTTCAAATATGACCAAAATATACATTTTTAGAAATGTGGTACATATATATATATATTCATAGTCAAGTACTGAAACACAGAGAGGTGTACATTGCATGTGAGAGTCAACATTTAATAGTGAATTAAAAAGCCTTTCAGTTGCATCAAACAGAAGCCCCCAAACTAGAAAGTGATATGGAAAATAATCCCTTTTAAATGGATTACTAACTATAAGTGGGCATGAGGCAAGGAAAAAATTAATAGCTCGGTTAATAGCCCCCCACACATGCGTGTCTACAAATAGATTTTGCCATTCTAAAAATGGGCTAAACTGAGCGGAATTTTCCAATTGCTTAGTCACTAGGCTGTAGTGGAACGAAGTGTGTTGGACCCTCCTAGGATCAGAAAACAGGGGAGTGGGGTGGGGGTGGGAAAATATCTGAAACTCATTCTCTTAATTCAAATTTGGTGGCAGATATATAGCATCCCAATTCATTCTTTTTCAAGATATCCAACTATGGATGTTGTTGGAAGAACCTGGGTGTGCAGTCACTGATTTAATGAGCTTATTGAAAATTGATGCCTTAGATCTCACCCAAACGTAAACTTTCTTTTCAGGAGTGTCCCCCAAGTATGAAAGTATAAAATTGATCATTATTATAATTCTAAAATGTGAACTTAAAATTCTGAAAATACAGACTGAAAAATTGTGCAAACTAGTGTGCTTATAAAATTAATTTTCAGCACCGTTAATATCTGGGGAACAGGATTGCTGCATAAATGAAGACAAAAAGCAGTGAAGCTGCTTCATACCATTTACAGAACAAGGGGAAAGTTTAAAACAATTCAAGTATCTTGTATGAAAAGACTCCAGTATTTCAGGTATTCCGTGAACTATACCAACTGCACATCAAAATTACATTCAAAACGTACTTTTAGCTAACGAATCATGCTTGGTTCCCTACAGGAAGAAAGAGCATTCAAGTTTCATAAATTTACTAAATGTTATTTAACGTTAATGGCCATGAGACCTAGAAGCATTTCAAGAAAAAAATATTATTTGAAATTTTGTACTCAATCCTCTAATGGTGTGAACTTCACAGATGTGCTCGATGCTTTATTTCTAATTTGGGAGAGTTCAACTCTATCTGG